GCTGCAGCAGGAGTACAAGGACAGGGAGGAGCTGCGCACGCGCTCGCTCCAGGCCTGGATCTGCTATGTCACCTTCATCTGCAACATCTTCGACTATCTGAGGGTGAGGAGCCAGGGCAGGAGCACCAGGCTGCTGCTGCCTGGGGTGCCAGAAGGGCCTGGGCATCCCAAGCTGCCAGGGAAGGGGTGTTGGGTGGGTGTTGTACAGAGCCCCAGGGCTGTGGGAGCCAGAGCTGGTTCTCAGCATGAGGATGCTGCCAGGGTTGGTGCTACCTTCAGGCAAGCAACAGGCTTGGAGAGGCAAAGCCACCACCAGGAACAGCCACAAGATCTGTGTTTCCTCATTTTGCACCTGGTGTTTGAACCCCCCTTATTTGCCTGTTGCCAGATGTCCCAGATTGGACTGGTTTAGTTGCTGTGGGGACATACTGATGAGGTTTGTCTGCACACCCCTGTGCAGGGTGTGAATTGGGATACCTGCCTGGAGTAGATGTAAAAATGGTGGAAGTAGACCTGCAGGCAGGAGAAACGCTGTTACAAGTGTATTTCCCATGACTACCTGCCTAGATTTAAAAATAGATGTTTTTTACATTATTTATTCACATCCTCTGGTTCCTGGAGACTCAAAACGTTTGGTCTCCGATGCAAATCCCACCAATACAGCATTTGGCAGCAAAACTAAATCCTCCTCCCTTCTCCCTTGGAGACCAGCAAGGGAACAACTAAAATAGCTGCAGACTCCTCCTTTTCTAGCCCCAGGCTGACAATGGCTCTGCCTCCTTGCAGGTGAACAACATGCCCATGATGGCTCTGGTGAATCCTGTCTACGACTGCCTGTTCCGGCTGGCACAGCCCGACAGCCTCCGGAATGAGGAAGAGGTGAGTGCAGGGAAGAGCTGCTGAGGCACCTGTTGTCCTGCCAAGGACCCACATAAAGCCCAGCAGAGTGCAGAATGCTCTCAGGGTGCACAGTGACTCTCCATTGCTTTGTGCTCAGCCGTTGCTCTTCCTTCTCAAGGTGGACTGCTTGGTCCTGCAGCTCCACCGCATCGGCGAGCAGCTGGAGAAGATGAATTCCCAGAGGATGGATGAGCTCTTCTCCCTCCTCCGAGATGGCTTCCTGCTGCAGGAGGGGCTCAGCTCCCTGTCCCAGCTCCTGCTGCTGGAGATCATTGAGTTTCGAGCTGCTGACTGGAAAATGACAGACGCTGCCCAGAAATACTACTACAGTGAAGTGACAGATTGACCTGCCCACAGCAGAGGAGAGATGTCCCCCAGCACTTTCACCAGCAAGCTTTGTACCAAGTTGGGATTTCTTTTCACATTTTCTAGCACTTCCTGTAAATAGGATTTATATTGGCTAGAGCCTCTGGGCACCTACTGTCAGGCAAAGCTGGTGCTGGCCTGACTTGGGAGGTCTGGAGCAGTGGGAAGGGCACGTTTAACCCAGCAAGTGCTCCCACTTAAGATTTTGTCTTAATGTTAGGCTGCTGCCAGCAAAGGGCTCTGAAAGCTTCTAGCTCACACCAGCATTTTCTGAGTGTTAAGGAAAGCACAGTTTAGGCTGAGAACATTTTGCTTCACCCCAAAGCCAGCAGAGCTGTGGGAGGCAGCAGGGAAAGCTTTTACAGCTCAGGTTGTACCTGGTTCTCTGGGTCAGGTCACAGAACACACTGTGGCCACACAAACAGCTCAACCAAGTGCTGTTTTTCCCAGACTCCTTCCAGCACACTGGCTGCATCTGCATGCACACAGCCTCTCCCAGGGGTCACTAGCTGGGAATACCTGCCACGGGGCAGCCTGTGACAGGAAAGGTCCCTGAGCACATGCAGGAACAGGTTTTATAAGTTTTATACAACAACTGTCATGTTTTTTCAGAATTTAGTGAGTTTTAACTATCATATGTTTCTATAAGAATGGGAGAGGAAGAAAGGAAACAAAATAGTCTATTGAAGAATTTTTTTCTAATAAAAGTTTTCCACTTACATGTGCCTTCCTTTCTGCCAGCACAGCTGCTGAGTTGTGAACAATATGTGAGGGTTGGTCCTGACTGAAGCCTTAAGGCTGTGGTACTCAGTTCTGCTCTGGTGTGGGGTGTCAGCTGTGCACCCCCAGGGTAGCTGGAAGTGCAGTGAGAGATTGAAGCAACACAGACAAAGGTTTGGAATTGAGAAACCTTCCTCATAAAAGTGGTTTTATTTTTCGTGAACATTCCCATCAAATCTGTGCAGACAGTGCTGCTGATGAGCAGAATCAAAAGTCAAAAAGGGTCTTTTATTGCCTGTTGGATCAATCCTCCTAAGGTGGTTGTGGTGTGGAAAAAGACCCAGCTCAGCTCTCAATTGTGCAGCCAAAAACATTGCTGACAACAGGAGGAGAGAGACTTCCAAGTCCCCAGGAAACAGGTAAGTCAGAGATGACTTTGTACAGCATTGCTCTAAGAAAAACATCTAAGGCTTGTCTTCACAGGCAAGTGATTATGAAATAACTAGAGCATCCCTGCAGGGTCGGTAACTCAGATTCCCCTTCCCCCTCCAAAACAGCACAAAGGAAGAGAACCTGGTGGGGATTCGATGAGCTTTCCCTGGCTTAGATCACAAGCTGCCTGGAAGGGATCCTCCACCTTTCCCTCTTCTGAGCAGCCTCCCCCAGGCAGGTGGCTCCAGGCCGTGGGGGCATCGAGTCCCGTGCGGAGTCCCTACCACCAGCGGAAGTGTGCGTACGCCCTGTTGGCCTCTGCCATCTTGTGCAGCACGTGCTTCCTCTTGATGATGGGCCCTTCGTTGTTGAAGGCCAAGAGCAGCTCCTGGGAAAGCTTCTCAGGCATCAGAGTCTTGCGGTGCTTGTTCTCCCTGCACTCGGTGATTAACCACTTCATGGCCAGGAAGCGCTTCCGGTTGTCCTTCAGCGGGACAGGCACCTGGCAGGGGTTGGAAGCACAGCAGTTAGCACTGTGAGGGTGCAGCAACCTGCTCCTCTCCAGCCATGCAGGCCCAGCTGGCACCTGCAGATGTATAGTGTTGCAGCTCCAGTGGCAATGTGCTGTTGTCTGCAGCCAGACCCACTCCTGACAGCAGCTCTGTGCCGATTCACCTCCTCTGTCCAGAGGAAGTGGCCTGAAAATGCTGCTGCCAAAATGGAAATTCTCATCAGATTTGAGCACTGGCCTCTGAATGGCCTTCTGGCCTATCTGGGAGCTGGATCCAGGCTGGTTTTGCTAGCAGAGATGGGAGGAGGTCACCCCATCCCTGCTCTGAATACAGAGAAACCACAGAATGGTTTCGGTTGGACCTTAGAGATTGTCTAGTTCCAACTCCAATCATCTAGTCCCAAATGCCTCCACACCTCATTTCTCCATCAGGTCCCAAGAGTTGCAGAGCCCATACTCAAGAGACAGGTTCTGCTCATGTCTTAAATACCACACTGGGTCTAGTAGATCTTTTCTGCCACACTGACCTGCCCAAGGGCTTTGAGACCTCTCTCCAAGCAACATGATGCTAAGGAGAAGATGGGAGTGGTAGTCTCAGGACTGCCAATTCTTTTGCTGCTGATCTCTGTCTCCTTGGAAATTATTTGCTGCATACTTCTCCTCGCATCTAGCCAGAGACCCAGAGGCTGCTGCTGATTAATGCTGGATTTGATGATCTTAGAGTTTCCAACCTTAATGATTCTCTGACAAGGGAATTACTGTGCTCACAGTTGGGAATCCTGATCTTGGACAGAGTCACTAAGTGCTATTTTAATCCAGACTGCAAAGTGGCTCTTTCCAAGGAGAGGAAAGCTTGAGCTGAAGGGATGGAAACCAGTTCATCTGCTTCTCTAGCTAATTCTCTCCCAACCAGATGTGCTCTCAGCCCCATTTCACCTGGTAGGTTTTGCCTCCTCTGGTGATGTTGCTGAGCCCAATGATGGGTTGGCAGTTCTTCAGAGCTTGGTGGAAAATGACATAGGGATTGCATTCAATTGTCTCCTTCTCATCTTCTGGAGCTTTGTGATACTTCTCCAGCTGCTTCCTCTTAATGGCCTCTAGAGTCTTTGGACAAAGAAAGAAAGGGGACATTCAGAGCAGATGGATTATCCCACTCCTTGAGGTTACATCACTTACAGGCACCCCATTTTCACCTGAGCAGTTGGTTTTCCAGCCCCATTGGGGATTCAAGTTTTACATCACCCTCTTCCAGCTCTTCAGTCTCTTTATCAGACATTGCATTTGGGGAATAGCCCAAACTTGGGCCAGAGGCCAGGGAAGGGCAGGGACAAAGTGGAGACAGGAATACAGGTCTGTGCACTGAGCACCCTCCCCAACAAAGCCTGGATCCAAGAGCTAGAACCTGTGTTTTTCTGTCACAAGGAATCAGCAGCTACTTGGGGAACACTTGGGCAATGTGCATCCCCATTTCAAGGGTGGAACAGACCAGATGAAACCAGCTAATACCAGTTATTGTGGGTCAGAGCAAGGGCCAAAGCTGTGTCATGTAGGTGACATATTTGTGGGACTTCGTGGCAAGTTATACAGAAGGTAAGGCACGGAAAAGAGCTGGAAAGATATTCGGAGAAAATGATGCTTTTAAGGGTATTCTCTGAGTTTATGCAGTACAAGAGGTCACAGGGATACTGAAGAGTGGGAAGAGATGATTCTTCATAGAGCTGTCACTCCCAGTCTGTGAGATAATGAGGCTCAGATTTGGACAGAGCAGAGCAGAGAATTCATGGTGAGTAACATGTGCAGAGGGAAACACATCAGGACCACAGAGATGACCCAAGTTCTGGTAATTCCCAGTTCCAGTGGGTCTGACCTCTCAGCCTCCCATTTCCTCTTGCTTTAACCCAATAGTGAGAAGAAACTTGAGTTCTCACCTGAGACATGAGATTTCTGGCCAGCACTTTATTTCCACCCTTCATCATCATATTGGTGAATTTACTGTAAACACAAAGTCAAATGAGATCTGACTTGAATTCTGTCATCACCAGAAATAAGCCCCCAGACACCCCTTTGTGTTGTTCCCATGGCTAAGTCTGGCTGCTAGATCTGCTGTGATTATCTCTAATCACTGCAGGACAATGGACTGGCTGCTGGGAAAAGATTAACCTGGAATAAAGGGACTGTGCTATAACAGGAGGCAATGTGCAGGCAGCAAGTGAAGGCTCGGGAGGGCAGCACAGCTCCCGAGCACTTTGGCGGCGTGAAGAGAGGAGGAGCTGTTGCTTTTACCGACCTGATCATGGGATCGTTGAACACGGAGGTGGAGAGAGTGGGAGGAGCAGCTTTGATGGGTCTAACAGCCTTAAGCTCCATTTTTTCCTTTTCCTCCTCAGACAGCTCCTCCAAAGGTTTCTGATACAATTCCTTCACTTCTGGCTCTAGTTAACTCGGGTTGTAGCGGCTCCATCTCACCTGCACCAGCCTGCGAGGAACAAGAGGAGGAAGAGCTGTAACCCGACACGTGACACGCTGTGATAGGGATACAGGCAGATGTGAACAGATGTGTGCACATCTCAGAAGGTGATGTTAAGGGCATCTCTGCCTTCCTGCACCGCTGCAGCAGAGCCCGAGGCACAAACCAAC